CCCCTGTTATATGCACAGCTTGATCTAGCCACCAAAAGCAACAATAAATGAGTTGAAAAAGGTAGATGAGATTTAGAATTTGTGATGAGAATGATCCGTGTGACAACAAGGAACACTACAAGAAACTCAAAGAAGAGCAGCTTCACAAGAGGAAAGGTTCCACATAGTTCCACACAGTGTATAAGGGACAGGTAATAATCTCTTTCTTATTAAGGTACTTGGATAGAGCGGTTCAGATAAAATAGGGAAAACGAAGTGAATGGTTTTTATAGGACCTCTAAAACTGTTCAAAACCTCAAATATGGTTCCTTCACCAGTGTCATTTGCCTTTCTAAGTTTCACATCTCAACAAATTAGGATTTGGGGGCTTACATTCCGAACAAAACACCAACACATTTGGACCAGACTCCAGAGAATAAAAGACCAATACAATGCTAAATCAATACACAGCATGTGCTGAGAAGATAAAAAAATGTAATTATGCTTCTTAAACTCGTTTGTTTGTTTTTTCATCACACCCCCCCCCCCCCTCTTCCTCCCCAATCTAGAGCTAAAGTTTTGATTTACCATGATTCCTTCCTGGGATCTGCAATGCATCATAATGACTGCAACCATTATAGAGAACTCTTACTGGATTTTCCTTGCCGTATTCTTCGCCGTACTCAGCTATGGTAATCAGGCCACCAGCATCTTTGTCATACATGTAGACAGTTATTGGCATCCTACATTCATCATCAATCACGGGCTCCAGTTAATCAAGGCATTCGATGCTTTATTTTTGTATATTTTGCAAAAAATAATAAGAAGAATAATATAAGGAAAAGGAAAAAGAGAAGAGAGGACGAAGATGATCTTTCATGAAATAAATTATTAACAGAGGTTTTCCCAGCAATGTAAGAAAGATATGTTTCTCTGACAACAATTCTTACCCAAGAACATGTGAAGCCATGAGAAGTTCAGGTTCACCTCCCCAAACATCTGGCTTTCTAATTTGTGAGACATATGTATCGAAATCTCCTTCAACAAACCTGTTGGCATTCTAAAGCTATCAGAAACAAGTTCAGAATGTCAACTATCTTGCGTAAAGACGGCACTGGTTGTAACATTTTCATACAAAGAGTTAATTCATTACTCGGTCCTATTTACAGGAAGAAAATGCTTGGATACAATATATAACTAGATTTGGAAGGTATGGTTAAATTTAAAAGTTAAAGCCACTAGAAAACTCACCATTCTGTATCCTTTCTTCTTTTGACAAACTCATCTGCAACCTGACAAATTAACAGGCCATGAGAAATCAAGGGGACCTAATGCTAGAAACATTGCAAAAACACACTTGCCTGCATTTATGCATAAGAAAATCTATCAGCCTTAACAGAATAAAGGATTGCAACAAAAGGCTTGAAATTTGCAAGAAACAGTATTATCATTTGACTTGCCGAAATTTACACTAAAGCTAAAACTAAAAAAAACATCAGATCCGATTGTCCTTCGAACAATTAAATAAGTGAATAAATCATCTGCAAAACATGCTTCATATAGTAAAGCAAGGGAAAGCCAAACTATTAAATTTATGATTAGCACACACAGAGAGAGAAATACCTTAGCCCTCAACTCATCTGCTAACTGTCTTTGACGATGCTCATTGGGGGCTGGTCTCCCAGATCTTAAGCAAGCCCCATGAGCCACAGAGCGGAACAAACATCTCCCATCTCCAGGAATTCCTGAACAATAAAGTGTTTAGAGTAACAACTAATGAGTGCACTGAAAATCCAATTATAATTAACATATACTATGTACTTATAGGCATTGTCACTACCAGCAACAATTCAAATGTTTGTTTTATAGAAATAGGATGTTAAAAACTAAGGATCAATTTGCTACTCACTAATAACAGAATAGTCAGTGTAGACTTTCTTCCCATGAGAAGAATGGCAGTGGTCTTCCTTTTTTCCTTCCTCCTCCCCAGCTTCTGCATATACTGGTTCAGAACTTGAACTACATATGAACAAACCAAAACCCAAGCCAGCAGAAGCTCGAGGCCACATAGATCTCACATTGCATTTGATTTTTCGAGTTCCTTGTTTTGGCATCAAAAGCCTAATTTTCATATTTTGGCTGGCCAATGAAATTTTAAGCCCACTTGATCCTTTAACTGTTAATTCCTGCAAGTTCCCTCTTTGCCCAGATGAGCACGATCCAATGCAGCCTCTGCCTGAGAATGCTTTAAAGCCAATGACAGATGAACAAGTGACTGTACTAGAAGCAGACAGATCAGTATATTTTATCTTGGAATGTCCAGGATACACAGATATACAACATGAACTGGATGGTCCCTGACACACAACACGGTAGAGGCAGCTACCCATCCTTCCACTGAAGTGGACAACATTTTTTGCACAGGTTCTGATGGGAGAACAAACTATCATGTTGGCATAACCTGACAGGGAAGCACATTACATACAGCTTAAGTGACCAAACATCCACGAGCATAATCCAGAAAGTATGATACCAAAGAACTAATCGGTTCTTAAGATAATCACCAATTATGCATTAAGTTGCTTCTTTTTTGGCTCCAAAGCAATCAAGACTTGGACCGCAAAAGATAAAAGAACCTAAATGCAGCACCATCATGTTCAAACATTCAAGCATTAGTAATGATATTGAATAAGCAATGAACTTTGTCCATCTTAAAGCCCATGCAATAAGGAAAAATGACTTTTTTTTTCCTTTCTTCTTGTAGAGAAGCTATAGATACGAATCTTAACATATAATAAGCATATATTCCAGCACATGGGATTAATTTTTCTTATTATATACTCCTTTCATTGTGTATGATGAATCTCACTTTTAAGTTTCAATTAGGACAAGAATGTCAGTAAGCTATCTCAATCTGCTAAACTCATTCTACCATAGTTCTGTGACATCTGAATAGCCCAAGCCACAGGCCAAATTGGTAAGCTTGGGCCAGGTAAATTGTCAATATGAAAATTTAAACTAAATGCTAGCATGTTTCAACATGAAAAACGAAGAAAAAGAGTAACTTAATTTGTCATCAGAATAGATTGGATCCTGGCTTTGATCATTTATTGTTGTCAATCAACACAAGACATTTATAACAAAGAAACTAACGATATTGATTAAAAAAAAAACCCACTAACAATATGGATTACAAGCTATTAAGAAATTAGTTCAAAATCAAAGATGCAAAATATAGATTAAAACAAAATGGTTTTCTATGTTTTTTAATCGTTTCTAATTAGCTCACACAAATATTATCAACCTTCTTACTTTGCCAAATTCCCAAGCCAGTCCAAACTAAATAGTAAATATGATACTTTCAAACCAGAAAATGCCCATGATCCCTCTACAGCAGAGCAGACGCCGGACCCCTACACAAGTTCTTCCTGAATCCTTATTCCTGAGTTGACTATAAGCCACAACAACATGATTCCAACCCCAAATGCCAAAATCCCCAATTAACTTGCACAAAATTCTATATCCAAACCCATGATATCATCTACACAACAAGACACTAATTCGACCTCCAACTTTCAAAATGGACTCCCACCATCTAATCATAATACACAATATAGTCACATATCCATCAATTAATACCATATCACAATTTCCAGACCTTCCCACAGATTGCAAAAGTTTTCAATTCCCTTACCCTTTCTGTATCTCAAAATTTTCGATATTTCTGTACTTCAAGCTCTTAGCACAATGTATGAAGTTGAAATTTTTATTGAAGTAAAAAATCTGGAAAAATATCTGATAAAAAACAGCGAAACAAAAAAAAAAAATTATTATCTGCAACACCTTTCATGGAATCCCTAACATAAGAGTCAATTCGAGACTCGCAATTCCATAGATAACAAAAATTTTAAAGTAATTAATCTCATTACTTACAGAATTATTGCCCGTAGAACTGGAGCGATTAAAATTGCATAAATGGAAATGATGATCTGAAAATAAAATAAAAATGAGATGAAATTGGAGATGAAGTAACAGGGGAGAAATGGAAGATCAAAGCAAAGAATACCTGAGAAAATTTAAGTAGAATCAAACAACACTTTGAGTGTAAGAAAGTAATGGATTCTTCCTTTTTTCCCAGAAATTTCCTTTTCAATTCCTGGATATTCTTTTACCAAAGACTCACTTTATGGTCTTTGATATAAATAAAAAAAAGAAGAAAAAATAAAATTGAAAAATTTTTCCTTTTTTTTTAAACGCGTAACTAATTAGCTGGGTCGCGCCTAGAAACGATCCAGGCCCAACAAATTTTTATTTTTATTTTATTTTTGGTCTTTTTGCTTAACCTTGTTTTAATCCCATAATTAGTAAAAAAAAAAAAA